ACTGTCTATGCAGGGTCAGACAGCTCTCAGATTCCATCAAAAATATCTTAATTTGTGTTCCGAAGATGAACGAAGCTCTTACGGGTTTGAAACGACATGAGGGTGAGTAATTAATGACAGATTTTTCATTTTTGGGTGAACTAACCCTTTAATTGCCAGAATTCATTTCGCCAGAATTCAAGTTCCGCAGAATAAAGAAAGTCGTAGGGGGTTAGAATCCGTGTATCATTCGATCATTCGTTTTTTGATTTAATATTGAAAGTAGAAAAATTTGAAAACGGCTCCTTTTTCGTTTTTTCGTTTTTTTCCAAAAAACGAGAAACGAGAATTCAGCTTAAATTTTCGTTTTTCGTTCATGGGTGGAAAAATGAATAAACAGCTTGAATATTCGATTTCTACACGTGGGAATTAAACGCCCCTTTCTGCTGATTGGTCAGCCAAAGATCAAACCGTGCCATCATCAGTTCTTCCGCAGTATCACGCAGCAGAATAATAGTCCTCCACTGCTGCAGTTGTATTTTCCACCCATGAACGAAAAACGTAAATTTAAGCTGAATTCTCGTTTTTCGTTTTTCGGAAAAAAACAAAAAAAACGAAAAAGGAGCCGTTTTCTAATTTTTCTACTTTCAATATTAAATCAAAAAACGAATGATCGAATGATACACGGATTGGTTAGAACAACATGACGCCATCTACAGTTTCTGGTGAACTATCCCTTTAACGAGTCTGTTCGTCACATTGACGTCTATGCCAGCACTTTGCTGCCTGGGCAGCCGGGCGCCATTTTGTTCGTCTGTGAAGTCAAGAAAAGAAGAGATAAGTCCAGTCCAGGAGCGTCGACCACGAGCGTCTACATGCACCAAACCGAACATACTTAATTCCAATCGGTATAAACTGGTAATTGTGAACGCTTTATTTGAAGTGATTGAACTTTTTATGTTATTTTAGTTAAGTGCAGTAGTCGTGCTAAAGTTAACAACATGCTACCCGAAGTTAGCAACATGCTATTGGAAAGCCATAGAACACTGTGTTATTTTCACGTAACGTTACACAGCTTTTATGCTTAAACATATAAAATAATTATGTTCTTTACACGTTGTTTGTCCCAGTGTTTCTCATCTGACAACCTTCATAGTTAAATGAGTCAGACCAAATACAACACTAAAGGCCTAACATGACAAAAGGGGATAAAACTATCTTTTGAACAGTGGGTTTAATTCAAAATGTATCTAATCGTAATCGAACTTTTGAAAAACTCAATGGAAACCAGATTTTTTCAAAAATTCGAATCAAAGTCGTTTTCGCTGTGCTTTCGTTTTGGTTTATTTATGAGTGTGTAACGTTAGATTATGTAACTTACTATAAAAAAATTTTTATTTGAGAAAATGTTAAAATATTTGAGATTTACAGACGCGGAATTTGTAAACCGCACCCTAAATTTACAGGTGCGGATGCAAAATCTGCGACATATTTATTCAGATAATACCAATTTTAAAACTTGATAAATATGGTTTATCATGCTTGGAAAAACGATACCCAGACCCAAAATGAGTTCAAATACAAAATTGTCTTCACAATCTGAAGTTGTTTGTATGTATTATCACGTATTATTGTGTTCAATTACATGTGATATAAATCCAAAACATGTTCAGTCTTAAGTTACCTAAAGAATTTTTTCCATGTAATAAAATATATTATGTTCCTGTCCTTATTCAGATAACCAATTGTTCAGCACATGGGGAGTGTTTTTGTCTCTTTTTTTGAAATGTAGGTTATGCAAGATCTTGTCCTTCATTCCAGAGGATAACTGGATTTGGATAATGAAATCGCTTCCCTGAAGATTGCTGCTTTTTTTCTCACCATTGATTTTTGGTTGTCCTCTATTGAGCATTTTTATTAAAGTTCCAGTCTACCCCCCTTTAATTTTTCCACCTGCCTTCAGGAATGATAGAAGAGAACCCTTCTTTTTTTTTCTTTCCAACATCTCCAAGATATCCAGTTCCTTTTTTGCGCTCATCTCTCCTTTTTTGACAACATCTAGCTTGAGGATTTTTTTAAAACTCCCCCAAACCCCCTAACCACTCAATTAGCAACAATATTGGAAAGAAAAAAAAAAACGAAACGGACATTTTCCACCACCTGCCAGTTTTAACACAGCAGTCTGATGGGAACAAGTTTCTAAGAGAGGCAAAAGTTGCCCCATCTCTCCCTGTTCAGTCTTTACTCATCAGTCAAGTGTTCCTTCAGGATCCATACAGTGCTGGAGCGACCCTTCACGTGCTTGAGATCACCAGGGAACGTCTCAGCCACTGCAGGTGAACGAAGTTCTTGCAACGCATTTTCTCTCAAGTATTTAAATATCGGCCACCATTTTGCATCATTCAGGACAGAATGTGAAAGTGAAAAATGTGAAAGGATCAACAGGGGCATGAATAGGCTTGTAACACTTTAAATAGGGAGATTCACGTAGACCCTGTCGCAGGAGTCCAGGACGAGATCCCAGCATCATTGAAGAGCTCCTGACCTAGAAGACTACAAACTTGTGCCAGAATGACCATGCAAGGAGATGACTGCTACTTCTACTATTATTCCACCTGTACTAAGGTAAAATAAAAAAAGTGTAAATAGTCATAATGCTGTGCATTGTATACACACACACACACACACA